AGGAGGCCAACAAGTCCTGCCAGGCCTGAGCCACGGGGCTCACCAGAGGGGACTCTGTGGTGGCTTGGTGCTCTGGGGGACTTCGGAGGGAGTGGAGCCTGTGCATCAGTGCCAACCCTGGAGRACAGTGTCCCTGTGCCTGGGCAGGGGGCCCATAGGCCAAGCTGAATAGGTGCACACGGATCCACCCAGCAGACCCGACCAGCATGGCTGCCCTCAACCGTTTCCCTCTCTGCGGATGGGCCACAGGGGTGTCCACTGTCCACTGTCATGCAGGGACGCACCTGCTCTGGCCAAGGCCCACTCAGGCCTCGGCCAGGCAGGGCCGCTGCACACAGCTGCACATGGCCTCCACAAGCAGCGAGAGGTCAGTCGGGCCTGCTGCTCCCCTCTGGGTGCCACGTCCCTTACTCTCAGGGCTGAACTGGAGCCCCAGCTCCCTGCCCAGGGCCCTTCCCTGTGGAGCCTCTGGCCGCTCTCCTCCAAGGGGACCTGCTCGGGGGCCCACTGAGCCTCAGCTGCCTGTGCCGGGGCCATTCCATCCACAACCTGTCCAGCTCCTCCACCCATGCAGGGCGAGGGAGAGACGCGTCAGCAGTGGCCAGCCAGCAATGGTCATCAGAGCCCTGTGGGCGCCGCGGCGGCCTCGGTACTCACTGTGCTCGTGGTGAATTCGGGGGGGTTGTCGTTCACGTCTGTCACCGTGATGATGGCCGTGGCMGTGTTTGAGAGCCCGTAGTTGAGGTTGCCTTCCATGTCGGTGGCCTGCACGATGACCGTGTACTGCTGCACTTTCTGGAGGGGAGGGTGCGAGGAGGAGAGGTCAGTCTGGCGTTGTTGGACAGGGTGCCTGTGCTGCTGGGGCTGGTGCAGAGGACCGAGGACAGCCCTCTCCAGAGTCTGGGGCTGAGGCTGCCTGCGGGAACTGTCCCTTTCCCTTGGGGCGGTGACAGGTGACAGGAGGAGGTCGGCTCGGTCTCCATCTCAGGGYCCCTCAATGGGCATGGGTCGCCTTTGGTGCCAGATGAAACAGGGGCCAGAGAACCTCGGCATGATCCTCTGTTTGGAGGAGCAGAGGGGGAAGTTGGCCAAGGGAGGCCCAGGCCAGGGCCACGGCCACGGGTCGGGGTGCCTCGCTGAAGTGCAGGCAGGACTCAGGTGGGAAGGAAGATGGGTGGGGAGGTCTGGGGCCCAGGTGTGGCTGTGGGAAGACGTGCGAGCYGGGCAGCTCCTGCACGTTCCCACGCAGCGGGCCTCGGCCTCTCGCTCCYGGCCTGGGGAGTGCAGGATGCTGAGCCCCGTCAGCAGCGCTGGCCTGTGCACACCCCTCCCTGACTAGAGGCCAAGGCTCTTGCAGCCTGGTGGGCAGCTGTCTGTGGGACCTGCGCGTCTCTCACTGGCACCATGTGGGCAGCAAGGGTTCTGGGGACCAAGGCAGAAAGGGGCCCTCTACATGCCCTCCAAGTGCTGCATGAACCTGACTCTTGCTCCTGCAGGATGTGAGCACAAGACCAGTGCCCAGTACCCGGTTCACTGAGATGTGCCCGGGGAGTCCCAGCAGGCTGCGCCAGGTGCCTCTGCTGCCCGGGTAGCCTCTGCATGCAGGGTGGGCGTGTGCAGAGTCCAGTCTGCACCACTTGGACTGGCTGCCCTTGGCAGCAGCTCTGCTGGGCTCTGCCACGGAGGCTGGTGCAGGCTCATGTGACCGGGCACCGCCTCGCTGGCCTTGGGCATGGTGGCACTGCTCATGGCAGAGGGCCCTGTCTGAGGGCCCTCGGGCTCCCAGCACAAGGCTGTGTCTCTGTCCATCCCCATGGAGACCCGCCTGCCCACGCCTGGCAGTGTGCCTCCCGGTGCTTCCTCCCTTTGCCGGTGGGTGTTGGCGCTCCCAGAGGCGGGAAGGGCCTGGTGTTGTGGCACTGCGGGCTTGGCTTCCGGCGCTTGGCTTCCRGCTGGGACGCTGCAGAGACGGGCTGAGGCGGAGGCACCACATTGGCAGCAGGCTACAGAAGTGAGTCCAAGCACCGGGTGCCCCTGCCCCATCTCATCTCTGCCTCCCGGCCACTGGACGGGCAGCATGGTGCAGGCAGCCCTGTGGCTGGAGACAGAGGACGTGTGTCCGGGCAGCAGGCGCCTCTTTGGGGACTGTCTTCATGTCCACCGGTTTCTCTAGTTCTTTAAGAGTCTGAGTTTCTCCCCTTCCGGCTCACCCCCAGTAAGAAGGAGCCTAAGCTGCATGGGTTCTCAGCGCCTCTTTCCAAGGCTGGACAGGCACTGCAGGCCCCTCCTGGGATCCCAGGCGCCCGTCCCAGGGCCCTCTGCACCCCCCGCTCTCTGTGCACTGGTCTGTGAGGCTTCGCCTCCCCACTGCAGTGTGTCCTGGCTGAAGGGGCCAGACCGAGAGTCTCGAGAACAACACAGGACTAGGGCCGCAGGAGGGATAATCAGAGGACAGGAAGAAGGCCACCAGAGGACCAGGTCTCCACATGCACCTTGGCAGGACGGCACCCTCGGCCATTGTCACAGCCTGTGCTCAGACCCACCTGTCTACTGCACTCAGAAGACACTGGGGGGAATGACAGTTTAGAAATGGACACATGCACGGGCACCCACAGGTGTGTACGGTGTGTACAAGGGTGTGCCTGTGTGTGCTGTGTGTGCATGTGCACGCAGGTTCCYGTGGTGCTTGCTGGTCTGTATGTGCAGGCGAGTGCCGTGACTGCCACTAGAGGGCGGGCTRGGCTGGCTTCTGGGAGGCAGGACTGTGGGCAGGAGGCTCAGGCTCCTCTGTGGCTTGGCTCAGAGTGTCCTTGCAGGCCTAGCCGGGGTCACCTGCCCCTTCTGGATCTGTGGGCATGTGGGAGGCGGTGGGCAGCATCCAAGCTTCTGCCATGGGGCTGGGCCGCGAGGCCTTCCTGGAAATAGCTCCTRAAGGTGTGTCTCATCTGTGTGGCGGGTGACGGCTGGGGTTCAGGGAGTCAGAGGCGGGACTCTGTGCATCTCACCTTCTCATGCTGCAGTGGAGGGACCCGGGAGAATGGCAGGCGGGACCCAGTTCTCTGGGGTCTCTGGCCCCACCTCRGCCCTGAGAGGTGAGCTTACCACATGTGTCCAGCCCTGTTCTCCGGCCCCCGTCTTACCAATGGTCTATGTCTCCCTGGGGAGCTAGAGCTCCCCTGAGGTCAGGGCTGACCAGGGCATGCCCTGGAGTCCAGTGATCTGCCCTGCAGGCCCTGGGGGCCCTGGATATGCAGCCTCTGCTCACGATCAACCCTTCATGGAGATGAAAGGAAGTGACTGGGTGGGCAGTGTCCAGGGTGGCCCCCACTGGACACCTGTGAATATCCAGGACAGGGCTTCCTGGTGGCCAGCCCAGACTGGCTCCCACTGGGAACAGAGAACAGGGGGACCCCTGGAGCCGGCCACACCGTGAACAGAGAACTTGAGTGAATTCACCCAACAGTGATCTGACCATTTTCAATTTGAGAGCAGAGAAGAAACCACAGTGCTGTCCCGGGCTCTTCTCRCCTCTGCACAGCTCAGCATGCAGATTCCACAGAGCACCGGTCAATCACGCAGTGGCTGGCCTGACCTAGGGCCTCGAGGTCCTCCCCAGCAAGATGCACAGCCAACCAGGYCGCCTGGGACAAGCTGGGCCAGCAGCAGGGACCCTGAAGCTACCCTTGGCACTGCCCCTCCCCGTGACGACCAGGGCCTGTTCTACCTGCGAGGCTGCCAGCGTGACTCGCCCCACTCTGGGCTCTGTGCACCCAGCAGGTGGCCAGGGGTGAATCTAGGCTGAGAGCCTAGACCCCAGCACCCTCCCTCCCTGGGTGAGGCTGGAGCAGGGCAGGTGCTGCTCACCACTGCTCTGGAAGGGCCAGCCCCTCAYGGGGCTGTGCAGCTCTGTGCCAGCTTCCTGTGGCCCTCTGTTGGGACTCACACCTCTGGGGCTCCCCGGTGGTCACAGCTGGAATCCCCTTCCCCTCTGTGCTGAGCAGCAGAGCAGGCTGGGGTGTGGCTTCYCGTGTGGCTCAGCACCTGCCGCCTGCCCTTGTCTGCCCTGGGCATGAGTGCGGTCAGAGGATCCCTGGGTGGTTGCCGTGGAGAGGTGAGGCGGCACAGTGGACACTGTGGGCAGTTCAGCCCTGCTTACCACATGACCCGGGAACCCTGCTCCAGGGAACAGATCCAAGTGCGCTTCAGCAGCTCCCAGGAGCAGCRTTTACACAGCCAACAGCCCAAGTGACCGCAGGGACCAGACGCAGCCCATCTGCCCAGCGGTGACAGGAGGATACCGCTGCCCGCTGCCCACCCAGGAGCTCAGGCCGGGCAGGAYAGCACACCCTGAGCGCTGCTGCTCCTGGGAAAGGTCCAACCGGGCAAGTCTGCAGAGGCAGGCAAGTGGGTGGCCGCCAGGGCTGGGGCGGTGGGGGATGGAGTGTCGGTGAAGGGGTCTCCTCTGGGTGACGAACGCATCCAGGAGTTACGTGGAGGTGGTGRTCACTCAACGCACGCCCAAACCCAAATTGCACAGTATACAGAGTGGACGGTGTGGCGAGAGCTATATCCCAAGGTGTGGGCAGCAAAGCCCCAGGGGTCCTAGTGGGGCTGTGCACGGCTGGTGGCCCCAGGACGGACTCCATGGGGCCTGCAGGATGTCCCCACGTCACCGCAAGGCTGAGCCCTCCCCCAGCCCTAGCCCTCTCCTGCCACCGTGGTCCACTTTATGCTTTGAAAACCGCCCTTGCTGCTCTGCCACTGAGACTTTTTTAAACGACCTTTCTTTCTCTCCTTTCCCTAATCCCAGGGGAGACAGGGTCACCTTTCTTCCCCACCCTAGGCAGAGTGACCACAGGAGTGAAGTAATTCAGACTTGGGGATGGCACCAGAACGTCTCAGAAGTGACTACCTCCCAAATTAACAAAGGAATTCCACTTCAGACAGAGAACACGTGGAACGTAGTCTTCAAATCGCCTCTTTAAAAACCTACGACTTCTGTTTATTCTGACAGTTGACATGGCAGATACCAGAGCAGGGACTGCTTGGTTTAATGCTGTGTATTGTCTGCATCGGGTGCCGTGGCTATTTGTCATAAACCCTGAGGTACGGGAGACTTCAGGGACACTCTAAGTCCACAGGCTAAGAACTCGACTGCCTCAGAGCCACACTGTTAAATGGGGAGACACACAACAGCATGAAAAAGCAAGGGAACAAACTGCCCCAAACCAACCAAGATACCCCAATAACAGAGTCCATCAACACCCCAGTGGAAGAATGTCAGAGAAGGAGTTGAGAATGTACACAGTTAAACTCATCTGTGAGGTAAAGACGATGCAAGGAGTGAAATCAGAGAGAAAATACAGGAAGTGAAATAAAGAGCAATTCTAAAAAAATCAAGCAGAAATATTTGAAATGAAGGAAACAATAAACCAAATTAAAAATTCACTTGAAAGCATCACCAACAGACTAGACCATTTAGAAGACAGAATTTCAGGCAGTGAAGACAAAATATATAATTTTGAAAATAAAGTTGATCATGGAGAAAAAGATATTAAGAGACCATGAGCAGAACTTCCAAGAAATATGGGTTAACATGAAAAGACCAAACTTAAGATTTTTCATGATAGATGAAGCTTGAAGATACAAACCAAAGAAATGCACTATCTTTTCAATGAAATGATATCAGAAAATTTCCCAAACCTAAAGAATGAAATGGAAAATCAAATGTAGGAGGCTTAGCAAATACAATATCACACAAGACCCTAAATATACAGATACAACAGATCCACACC